GGGAAAAAAAAAAAAAAAAAGCTGATTTAAACCCTTTCTCCCAGCGCTATCAAAACTTGAACTGCACACTGGCTTCCGTTCGCTCTCCTCCGCCTTCCTCGGCCGGAGCTCCGGAGGGTGTCTCGCGGTTGCAATCCGAAGCTGGCGATTCTCTTCTCCGTGCCACTCTCTTCCGTGTCCTAAAACGTGAGCGAATTCACTTCCTAAATCTGCGTCCAGACGCGTAGGGCAGGGAGGATCCAGGGGGCAAAATGGCAAGGAGAAGAGAGAGCGAAAGGAGGAGAGGAAGAGGGAGCGCGAGGAGAGGGAGGCGGGAGGGAGGGCGCGAGGGCCGGCGAGAGAGCGAGAGCTGCTCCCCACCCTCCTCGCCTCTAGAATTCCCCGGGCGTCTGCTCGGCGGCTCTAGAAGGTCGGGCTGTGCTGTGGGCTGCGGGGAGCCGGAGGCCTCTTGATTGGCTCTTTGACGCTTTCGGACCAATTGTGTGGCTGCATAGGCGTGGTTTTCACAGGTCGAGTGCTGGGGGACAGAGCCGAGTTATAAAAAGAAGGTGTCGGAAACTGTAACGTAGCTGCGCCGCATCGGTACTACTGCCTGTCCTGTGAATATGTCAACATGATCAGAGGGAGGGCGGGGAGCCACTGGGGAGCGCGCGCGCACAGAGTCGCCTCTAGGTGGCTTTTATCGAGAGATTGCCGCAGCCCCGGAGCTCACTCGCTCGCTCTCGCTCAGCCCACATCTGAAATGCCTCAGTCATCCCGCTTAGGATCGAGGGAGGAGGCAGGGCCAGGGAGGAGGGGGAGGGAGGAAGCGAGCAAGCCAGCCGCGGCGCGAGCAGGGCGGAGAGCGCGCCCGGCGCCGGGCAGGGGCGCTCGCCTCTACTGCGCTCGGCTCGCTTCTCCGCTTCTGCCGGCCCAGGCCGAGCCGGGCAGGCGGCGGAGCCTCTGGCGAACTGCCATTCGGCCTCTTGGCGCAACAAAAGCCGGCGGCGGCGCAGAGGCGAGCGAGGAGACGCCAGGCTTGCGCGCTCTGCAGCCCCACGTGGAGCCAAGCTCCGCCCGGCCGCCGCTTCAGGGCGGCCGAGCTCGGTGGTTCCTCAGTGCGGGTCTCCTCTGCATCTGTGCTCTTGCACATGAGAGCACATGGATGCGGCCAGATCGGGGCACATGCATATGGGGGAGGGCTTCCTCTCCATCCTGCCCCACCCGCAGGCGAGCGTGCAGACCCCCAACGCTCCTAACGCATCTGTACACGCGCCAGCACACTGGGACAGAGCCACACGCCGAAAAACACACACGCGCCAACACGTACACAGCCTGTTCTGCTGGCCCTGTGCGCCGACGCCGGGAGGCGAACTCGGGATTTTGTGAAATGGTTTTAGCAGCCCTTTTAACTGGCTTGCATACGGGCTCCCCGTATTCCTCCTGGATGTGTTGGGGGAGGGGAATTTTGGAGAAGGGAATGAGGATTTTGACAAAGCGCAGTGAGACACTAGGTTCGAGGCGTGTCCCGGCCTAGCCGCTGCCTTCACCCCCAAGGCCAGCTTGGTGCGAGACTGCCAGTCAAAGGTGGGCGAGATGGGAGGGGCAGGTTCGCTGGCAGCCCGGTATCTCCTCCAGGCACCGCACTTATCTCTCAGTGCCTCGGTTCTTTCTTCACCCCCGGACTTAATCTCGGCCGAAGTCGGGGGCGAATTTGTAAAACAAACCGTGAAACACCCCCAACCCAGAGGCGAGGTGACTGGTTCCAGTTCAGGTAGGGCGGGGGCCGCAACGAGGGCGGAGAGGAAGACTTGAACCTATCTTACTGATCGAACCTGTCGCCGACTTGGTAACTGTGTTATCGCAGCTACCTGCTCGGGTTACGGGGGTCCTCCATGTCCATAGGTCTCGCTTTTGGTTGGCGTGGGTCGTCCTGGCTTAGGTGGAGGGAACTCTGGAGATAACTTCTTTCCTTCCCCGAGTGGAGACTGCCCTTGGTTGGAACGGGAAGGAGAAAGGATTGACTTGGGGCCTGGGGGCTTTCAGAACCCCAAGGCTTCCAATGTGTGCGCGTCTGTGCAAGAAAGCCCGGCTGTTTCTTACATTCGTACCTCCTGAGTCCCCAGACCCCGGACTCCGAAGTGGGGGCAAGTGGAGGGTGAAAGGCAATTCCATTGTGGGCTAACTGCGCCGAGATAGGGGCGGAACTGGTGAGGCCAGGAGCGTTTCCAGCCTCCCATTTTTGACGCAAAGGCTTAAGAGCGCTTGGCGCCAGCGCGGAGAATTCCCTGAAGTCACCAGAGAGAATAAAGTGGTTCTCCGAACTCGGCCCGCGCCCTCTCTCTCCCTTCCTTTCCCTTTCGGTCTCTTTCTCTGGCTTCCCCCCTCTCTCAGCTGCTGGTTGAAACAACGCCCAAAGTCCCTTCCCGCGTCCCTTGATTCTGATGGTGAAGAATGCGAGAGGCCAGGCCTTTTTCCGCTGTACACCGACCACGGAGATCACTGCTGGGTTTCCCGAGTTTGTGATGGCAAAAAGGCACCCCCACCCCACATTGCTCAGAGCCTGGGCCTGCTTCCCTGCTTTGTGGAGAGGCCCAGACTCTTCGCGATAAGGCTTGGCCTGAAATCGCGGGTCACTGTGGGCTCGACCTCTTCAAGTGCAAGGAAAATAACTCAGTGCACCCCCTTGGTACCCCAAGCCTCCAGGTGCCGGGGAGAGCTAGACATTGCCAGCCGGCTCTCTGCGCTGTGGGCACGGTTAGCCTTTGGAAATGGGAGAAGGTTTGCTGGTTTCACTTGTAAATATCTCCACTCGCCTTTGGCTCTGAGAGGACCTAGCCTGGTGTCTGCCCTTCACTGCCCCCTCGCTCAATTGCCAGTTTTTGTCAGTAGCTCTAATTTAACCCTGAGATCATTCCATTGCGCCCCCCACTCCTACCCGCACTCTGGCGCGCAAGGGACGCGGAAAGTGGAAAGTTTGCGGGGCACTGCATCGAAAATGTCGACATCTTGCTAACGGTCTGCAAACTTCCGCCAATTACGACTGACCTCCCAGACGCGGCCCCAGGAGGCTCGTATTATGCTGGGAGGCCGCTGTAATCTGGGATCAAAAGCAGGAAGGTGCGAACTCCTCTTTGTCCCTGCGTGGCCGCCGCGCCCTCCTCCTGGTGGGTGATAAACCCACTCTGGCGCCGACCGTGCGCTGGGTGATTAATTTGCGGACAAACAAAAGGGGCCTGGTGGCCACCGCTTTCGGGTTAAACATTGGCCAGCGTGTTCCGAGGAGTTGGGCCAGGCCTAGC